GATATTGCCATCCTGGCACTGAACATCTTGGCTCTTGGTTACTTCGTCGTAGCACTCCGAATATTCGCTTGTAATAATAATACTAATAGAATAAACGCGCGATACTTTTCTTGCAACTCCCGACTGCCTATTTCGCGACATGCCCATTCTAGGCGCTTATGCAATCCCAGTAAGCAAGGAATATTAAATTAACGTTTAGAAACGTTGACTTCATGTGCATTGTTTGGACATTTTTTAATAATATTGTATTTATATTTTTCACATGTGTTATTTGATATAATTTTTCTGAATGTTGTTTAAACGTTTTAAAAACATTATAAAAAATTTATTTTTCAAATGTTACTTTAACATTTATTTGAGATCAATGCAATATCTTAAAAATATTTCTGCCGATTAAAACGTTATTTCAACCCTATTTCAACATTATTGAAACTTCCAAATCATGGCCAAAGTATATTCGTAATGATGTTTGATATAATATTAAACACTACATATTTGACAATATTACAAGTTCTTCAATAGCATTGTAGCAATGTTGTGTTAATGATTTCTTGCTTACTGGAACTATAGGATATTTGGATAACTAGCGATAACGAGACCGACCAATCGAAGACGTCACTTTTTTGATCAAGTGGAGCGGATCGATGGTTAGATAACCACAGACAGCGCCATCAACTAGACCAACCAATCAGATATGCCAGTTTTATAGGGCCCAATTTTCGATAGTGTGCGAATGAAATGCAGAAATCTATAGTAACGGGAACTATAATACTTTCTCATGCGCATCTCATGGCTCGTTTACTCAGGACTATATCTCGTCACGACGAACGGCTTACTTTCGACACTTCCGACAATATACGCGCACACACTCACTTCCACAAATCGGTGATGTGAGGCACGATTGATGAATTGCGTTCCAACCGCCACGAATACGATAAACGCGCGAGACTCTTCTCGGAATTCTCGACTACCTGATCGCGACATATTCACTTCGAACGCTTATTTGACAAAATCTCGTCACGACGAACACATAAGACTTTTATTTTCAACATTCCCGACAATGATCCGAACACGAAACTCACATTCGGCGAGCAGAAATCGCGGAAATATGAAGTAATTCGCAGAAAATACGTTACTCACGTCGCGACACGTTCACAGCACGTTCAGTGTTGCAAACTTTTGGGGTACACTAATTCCAAAGCCTCCACTGCGAGGCATTACTTTTTTAATCAAATGTAGCGAATGGAGGGTTGGATAACTAGCGATAACGAGACTGACCAATCGAAGACGTCACTTTTTTGATCAAGTGGAGCAGATCGATGGTTAGATAACCACAGACAGCGCCATTAACTAGACCAACCAATCAGATATGCCAGTTTTATAGGGCCCAATTTTCGACAGTGTGTGAATGAAATGCAGAAATCTATAGTAACGGGAACTATAATACTTTCTCATGCGCATCTCATGGCTCGTTTACTCAGGCCGTTAACTTATATCGTAATCCGTAAGAAACTGAAGGCCCATTTATAAAGGCCGTAACCGTTAACTTATGCTGTAATCCATAAGAAATCAATCAATTATTACAGTCGATTATTACAAGAATAGTCAACTGCGATCGGTCCATTTCTTATGGATTACAACATAAGTTAACGGTTACGGCCTCTATAAATGGGTCTTGACCAGCCACAGTCCATTGTTCTTATATAATTTGACTACAGTTGGTCAATTTCTTGCAGATTTCTTGCGGGCATAAGTTAACAGTCTACATAAACGAGCCATTATTCGCACGACGTTGAAATCGCCACTCTGATCAAGTGTAGCTGATCAGGCGTATCTCATTTGACCAATTGAGATTTGACAACCAACCGATGCAAAGATTTATCTGGTAAATTATTAGATCCAACCAATCATTATACTTTATGTCCAATCGGGTTCCACCTTAGTCGAATAACTAGTGACAACAACACCGACTAAGCAAATCAATCAAAAGCAGACGAGCATAATAGATTCCTAGAGAGAGGAAGCGTAGTACTTTTCTTATCGATAACTTATCAAATCACGTGTTAAAAATTTTTAAAAAGATTATACACGGGTGTTCTTTGATTAATTGTAGTGTAGTAATAAATGTTGTTTTCATAATCTTCACTTAAGTTACGAGAAATTAAGGCAATAGTTTAACTAAACAATAAGTCCAACGCATCTTGCTTTATCATTTAATGGTACTAAACTACGAATTAGGCGTCCTTTATATATATTCTTAGTACTGAGATAGACTGTTTTACAAAACGTAGCAAAAACGTTTTGAATTGTATAAAAACTGTCTTGGCATTATATTTAACAATTTTAAAACAACTTTTAAGATTGGTATATCGTGTTAATTATTTCCTTTTAGGAACAGTAAATATCCAGAATTGTATGATATGAGTTATATCAAAATCAAGGATGACATTTTAATTGTTAATTATGGAAAGTTTATTCTAAGATATCACTGTAGAATATAATATAATATAATATTGGTTACAAGTATATAATTTTGTTATATTTTATTGTATATATTATTTGCAATGTTCACAGTTATAATTAGAATTATAAAGTTAATCAATAGATAGTTAATAGTCAAAATCATTGCTAAATATATTATGAAACTATCCTTCCAGAAATATCATTAATAATGATATATCACACATTGTTATTAAATAAATGCGAGATATAAATAGTGATACAAGACTAGAATTGGCATATGTATAGCATTATAATATATAACCATTAAAATGGCATATCCTGATGACAGGTTCAGCATTGTTTTGGATACATTAGGTTGTTTAATGTCAGATAGCAAGGGGATATATAATAAAATGTACACACATATACACGTACAATGATAATTTCAATAAAAACTTTATGAGCAAAATATTAACTTTTTCTGCAAAATTTATATCGAATTGGCTGCACACAATTACAAATACATTTAACAGTAAAAGAAAGTGCAAAAATGAATTGCTGCATTATATACTATATTCTTTATTGTTTTTTTACACATTAAACAATTACATATTAAGCATATCAATTTTTCATTTTTGCATGTATTTTTATTGTATAAAAGCATTTGCAATTCTGTGCGATCAATACAACGTAAATTTTACAGAAAAATGTCAGCAATTTGTAAAGTTTTCAAGTACAGCAGCCTCAAGTCTTGTATGCAACAATCTCATTCGAGATTTTAAAAAAATTTGTCCGTATTGCAATTAAATTCATTGAAAGATGCGTTCATGTATCTCAGCCCAGTCGAGAGTTGAATCCCTGCTTGACAAGTGGCGACGAAGGTGGAGGAAGCTTCCACCCACTTCCAGAAGCGACGAGTAACTTTTTTCCAGAAACGACAGTCGCCTTTCCATGAGTGAACGGCTAATTGATACGTCACAAAGAAGTGACGGTTCGATGTTGCAGTCTGACGAAGCGAGAGAGAAAAGGAGACTCATCTCTCGTTTCATTACTCGTCTCGTCGCTCCGCTGTGTGCTCGGCTGCATCACTAGACCAGCGCAGACTGTAGATGGCGCTGGCGCTGCTCGATTGCGCGTCGTCTTCCGCCATCTTTGCTGGACGGAGTCGTTGTTGGAGCCTCGCTGGCGTAGAGGAACGGCGAGCACGGTACTCGCGACAAGTGAAAACGGAATCGATGCTCGAGCGTCGCGGTGCGCCAGTGTCGAGTGTGAATCAGTAAAGAGCGGTGATTCAGAGGACACGGTCGTCCGAGGAGAACGAGTCTCGCGGAGTCTCGCCTACGCCGATCGTTGCAACACGGTAAGTCGCCCGTGGTAACTCCATTTGCACGGGGCTCTGGCCCGCGTACCGGAGGGAAGGAACGTCGCGCGCCCTGCCACGCCACGCCGCGCGTCGCGTCGCGTCACGTCGCGAGTGTTTACATTGGGTGTGTCAAAGTGCTCTTTTCGCTGTAGCGAAGCATGGAAAATCCGTTGCTCCGCGGCACGGCCTGCGCGCATTCCTCATGATGCATAAACAACAACGCCCGTTCCGAAGACTAGCGCGCGAGTCTCGACGGCGAGACTTTCCTACCTCGCCCAACACGAAAGCGTTCAAGATTATTGGCTCGCGCTAGATTCCGAGTGAATCACGGTATGCGCGCCGGCTGTTGTACTTTCTCGCTCCGATATCTCGGCGAGACGAATACCTGTCACAAGCCATGTCTGCTGAGGCTTTGTCCAAAGGAATTCATGCCTTTTGTCATTCATCTTCCATGTAGCTTAGTATTTGGACAAAATTGTTTTTCTCCCGCTGGAGCAATTTGCGTTTTTTTATTTTCCGAGGATCGCTCCTCTGTGACCCTTCCTTCGTCAAATACTTTCTCTCTCTCTCTCTCTCTCTCTCTCTCTCTCTCTCTC